TTGTGGATTTATCTTTTTCTTTTTTTATTCCTATCACTTATTGCTTCATGTATTTTCAGCTTCTTTCTCAGTTTTCAAATTCTGTGATTCACTGTGTGCCCTCCTTCCATGTTTTCTTATGAACATTTTCAAACATGCTTAAAGTTGAAAGAATGGTACAGGAACATCATATACCTACCACCTAGAATCTACAATTAACATTTTCTTATATTTGTTGTAGCACATATACATCCCTCTATTTCATCAATGCCCCCCCCCCCTTTTTTTAAAGTAGGCTTTATGCCCAGCACAGAGCCCAACACAGGGCCTTAACTCTTGACCCTGAGATCAAGACCCGAGCTGAGATCAGGAGTTGGATGCTCAACCAACTGAGCCACCCAGGCGCTGCAATCCATCTTATTTTTTGATGCATTTCAAAAAATTTGTAGCCACTTTATCTCTCAACACTTAAGTATGCATGTTATTAATGAGAATTTAATAACTTTTTAAAGTTCCTTTTTTTTAGTTAAAATTTTCTTTTTCTTTTTCTTTTTTTTTAAGATTTTATTTAGTCATGAGAATACAGAGAGGAGAGAGAGAGAGAGGCAGAGACACAAGCAGAGGGAGATCCTGGGTCTCCAGGATCGCCCTAGGCTGAAGGCGGCGCTAAACCGCTGACAACCTACTTCTAGTGACAAATTACTTATCAGTGTAATTTTTAACTAGGCTGCCCTAGGTAAAATTTTCATATAATGACCTGTACGGATTATGAGTTGATCACTAAATCTTGCTGTCTGTAGTAATATTGTATACTTATGCTGTAATGTGGGACTTCTTGGACATTTGTATATTGTTGCTTTCTGCATAGACTCTTGAGATCTGATTTTTGTTCATCCTAAGAAGAGGACTCAATTTAAGTTACCAGATCTGTGTTTTTAGGGATTTGTTTAGGCCTGGACAGGATTAAAATGATTGTATAAATTAGGATCAGTTATTCACTCAGTAATTATTTTGTTTCTTTTTAGTCTTGATTTTTAATTGTGGTAAAATATATCTAACATAAAATCGACATCCTAACCATTTTTAAGCGTACAGTTCTATGGCATTAAGTAAATTCACACTGTTGTGCATCTATCTCTAGAACTCTTTTCATCTTGCAAAACTGAAACTTTATACCCATTGAACAACTCCCTATTCCTCCCTCCCCTAGCCCCTGGCAACCATCATTCTACTTCCTGTCTGTATGAGTTTGACTACTTAGGTACTTCATATAAGTGGAGTTATATGATATTTATCTTTTTGTGTCTGGCTTATTTCACTCAGCGTAATGTCTGAAAGGTGTGTCCATATTGTAGCATGTGCCAGATTTTCCTTCCTTTTTAGGACAGAATGTTATTCCATTAGATGTGTATACCATATTTTGTTTATCTACCTATCTATGGATGGACACTGGGGTGGCCTCCACCAGTATTTATTGAGCACCTCTTATTCGTCAGTCACCTTTCATTAAACACTTATTGACTGCCTTAATGGGCCAGATCATGTTCTAGGCATGGGGGATACTGCAACAATGAATATCCCAGACAGAATTACTGCCTTCAAGAAGCAATACACAAAGAAGTGTATTTCTTGGTTCTGAATTGGATTTTTCATGTTTTAGTGATTCTAAAATTGGATGTACTTTATAATTAATAACATCTTATAATTTTATAAGGCAGTATTTCTTTTTTAGTGACACCTACAATAATGGTGTATCTTACAGTCATTTTGAATCATAGATTTGATGAGTCACCAATAAGTAGGTTGTTGATAAGGGCTATGAAAAAAATAATCCAGAACAATGGGGATAGAAAGTTAGTTACATGGGGTAGTCACAAATAAGGTGACATTTGAGCAAAGCACATGTTCAGGTTTTTTTTTTTTTTTTCAGAGCAGGACTTTTTTCCTGAAGGATACAGTGTGCTGGTCACATCCTGGTGCAAACTCTGTACCTCTGTGGACTGTGGACTGCTAGCAGTTTGTGGACTGATTACTTTGAGTAGCAGGGTAGAGGGTAGAGCCCTGACAAGTGGGGTTAGGGATGGGGGTTGGGAGTATTTTGCAAGATGGGACCAGATTTTGTATGCCTGGAAAGGGCAAGGCTGATGGCATTTTCCATCTTAGTAAACAGTAAACAGTGTTTCCAGTTGCTCAGAACAAAAATTTTGGAGTCATTTTTGACTTCTCCATTTTCCCATACTTTACATTCAGTCAGCCAGCAAATCCTGCCTGCTGTGCCTTCAAACTGCATCCTGATTCTGACCACTCTTAACTACCCCCACCTAGAACACCATGGTTCAGGCTATCTTCATCTGTTGCCTGGATTATCATGATAGCCTCCTAACCAGTCTCCTTTCTTCTCCTTGCCTTCCTGTAATCTCTTCTCAATATAGCAACCAAAATGATCCTTTGGAAACATGTCTGATCATATTACTCCTCCCCTTAGATCTCCTAAATGCATCCCGTCACTTTTATAGAAAAGGTTAAAATCCTTATGCTTGCCTACAGGGCTCTACTCCATCTGCTACCCCACTTCTTTGACCTTCTATCCTACTTGTCTGCTTTGTGCTTCTTTTGCTCTGAGCTGCCTCTGGCAGCCTTGTTGCTTCTTAATCATATTGAGCATGTTCCTGTCTCAGAGCATTTGTACTTGCTGTTTCCCCTGCAAGAACAGTCCCCAGATATCTGCAAGGCCCATTTTCTCAGGTCCCTTCTCAAATCTCACCATATCAGAGGGGCCTTCTAAACACCCTATGTAAAATAATACCCTCTTTCCCACCAGCACTGTGTTTTCCCCTAAATCAGGCTAGATTGAGTTATGCTGCAGTAGCAACAACTACAAAATATTGGGGGCCTAATTCGACAAGACTTCTCACTGAAGGTATGCCTCTGTTGCAAGTCCCCTGGATGGTCTTCACACTGTCTTCAACTCCGAGAGCTGTCAGATGGCCTAGCTACCATCTTGAGCACTGGCAGAGGCAAACACCATTCACTGCCCTGCAGGTGTCTTCATGGTAGTGACATCTATCACACTGACTTGACCAAAGGTAGTCATTTTGTCATACCTCACTTCAGCTAGGGGCACGTATGAGTGACTGAGCAGTCTTATCATGTATCTGGAAAGAGATCAGGAAATTCATGGTGGATAAATAGCCACACTTTTTTTTATCCTGCTTAATTTTTCTCTAGCATTTATTTCCTTCTGACACAATACACATTTACCTCATTTTGTGTATTTTCTTTTCTCTCCTGTCTAGGCCACAGAGAAGTGGGACTTTGTCCGTCCTTAATTGCTGTACCCTAGGGGCATAGGATGATGTGTGATCTATAGGAAGTGCTTACTAATTTTATGGGATGATTGAGAAAAACCAGGGCAAATCATTCATTTCTTTACTTGGCAACATGTAAGCTCAGGTGGAAGTGTTGAGTAGAGATGTTTGAAAAGAAAGGAGGAGACCGTGTGAAATGAGAAGTTGGAGAAAAGCCGTAGAAATGCTGGTCGGTGGAGAGTGTTGAGATCTGAGACCATGAACCTGCAGGGAGATCTTGTAGCTCAGCTGTGTGACTTCCTCTAGGAATGTCGAGTTGCTCTGGAGCTGGTAAAGCAGAGACAGGCAGGAAGGTTGGGGCCCATCTCATAAGGATAGGGAAAGGTCAGGTTGAAGGAGGAAATGAGATCCTCATTGGCCCTTCAGGGTACAGCGGTATCACCCCTGCTCTGTCTTGCATCCTGTCAGAAAGATGAAGGAGCTCACCTGTCCCGAAGGAAACAGTTTCTCCTGGATGGTGTGGGTGGTAGCAGGAGCCCTCTGGCCTGTAGGCATCCTTTCTTTCATTTGCTTCTCCTACACTTTTGAGGTAGTTTTTCTTCTCTTCATTTTATAGGTGGGCAGATAGAGTTAGTGGTCAAGCTCACAGCCACAGTGCTCTCCTGTACTTGTGTGGTGCTCGGCCATGAGGAGCTCTCTTAGTTTTTGTGCCTTGATTGCATCTGGGTCATAAAGATAGTATGGTTCCAATTTAGATGTTTGCAAGACCTTACCAGAAAGGAAACAGTTGGTCTATTTTTGTACACTTCAACGGGTGTGATAACCACATTACCAACTGTAACTAGTATATTCACTCCCAGGGAATTTCTTATGAATACAATTAAAGTGTACCTCACATGATCTAAGAATGTTGCCATTGGTGATACTTTTCCTCTGGTTTTACCTGTTGACCTGAACATTTCATATGTGCAAGGAACTGCTCTAGGCTCTATGACCACTATAGAGAAGAAAAGGCAGGTGGCCTCCCCTCAGGAATGTGGTTAGGAAGGCAAAACAAGTATAAAACCCTGATTATTCAAACAGTACCTAGAAACAAGGGTGCAGAGTGGGAGAAAAGCCCCTGAGGCTAAAATTTGGTTCCTTGAGACTCATGGAGGGAAGTGGAAATTGAGCTGTAACTTGAAGGCTGCATAAGACTTAGAGGAGGCTCTCCAATGGAAAACTGACTTGGGCCCCAGTGGTACCTCTGGTGGAAAATCTCAGCATGCCCCTGCAATCAGCAATGGTAGCATTTTTAACTGCTTTTTAAATTTTTTGAATAATTGTTTTTGTGTGTGAATCTCATAGATGCTCAGGAGCTAACCAGTCAATTTAGCAGAAAACATACTCCTCTATTTCTTCACACTCTGGTGGCCGTTTTCTGAAAAGTATCGTGTGGGAGTTACTGGCTGTAAACTTGGTTTGGTCTCATGTGAGAGCCAAATGACAATGACCCCTTGCCTGCAAATTCCACTTGGTTTCCAGTGCCCTTTGATCACATACCTCTGCAGGTAAAGGTTTTGAAAATATACGTTAATAAGAAATAAATTCTAGAGTTTGTGAACTTTGTCTTCATTCTAACACAAAAGAAATGAATTCTCTTGCTTTTCACTCAGGTGGTTTTTTAAATCTTAAAATCAGTCATTCTGAAAGAAGTTTTCTTTTTCCATCTAGATAAGGCACCTCTGTCTAAGAGTCTTCTGCTGGTCCCCAGTGCCCTGTCCCTTTTGCTGGCCCTTCTCCTGCCACACTGTCAGAGGTTCTTTGTGTATGACCTCCAAGCAGTCAAGGAAGACCTCCAGGTGAGCTCTACTTCATTGGCATTTATGAGGAGAGAAGGCAGAATTTTTTCTCGATTGGCTATTTCTTCTCTTCTATTTTTAGTCCCTCAAAGCCTCTAACTTTTAAGAAATATTATTTTTTCATAATTCATTAGAAAGTGAATTTTCTAGTTGCAGGAAAGCTGGTTAACAAAGCAGTATTTCCTTTCTCTAGTAGGCACATCTCGCGTTCATGTCTTACTCATGGAAATGCAATTTACGACTTCGAAAGAAAAGCTATTAAATCTGTTTTGTATCATTAGTAGTATGCATTCTTAACATTTTAAAAAACATTTTCGTACTTAACATTTCAAAGCTTTATATTCCAAGTTTGAGTGTTGATTAAATGATCTAAGCTCTTCCAGCTCTAACATATTGTGAATCTCTGAATTACTTTTATAGTGGTAGTTATACCAAGTAGGAAATTTCTCTTGGGTTTTTATTTCTGGGAAGAGCAGGACTCTATGGCTTTTGAGATTTATGGGCTGATCTCTTTGAAGATGCTGGTGCTGGGTCTTACTGGTGAGTCGGAGCATAAAAGGGATGTTCTGGCACCAGTCCTGGAGTGGGAGCTTTCCCCACACCACCAGGAAATTTTTCGACACCAGGTGGGTGTCCTACAATTCAACTAAATCCTACCACAGTCTACCTGGAGATAGCATCAGATCTCACAGGTGAAGGCTGCCTGCCCCCATCTCCATGCTAGTTGCAAAGCCCAGGTTATTACCTGTGCTTCTGACCAACTGGCAACAGATTAGAGATTACCATGATCTCTCCCTTGGACATGAGATGCCAGTTGCAAGTCCAGGTTGTTACTAGTACTAATGATTGATTGGCTTTAAATCAGAGGTTCCCATGACCCCTTCCTTAGGTTTGATTATTTTGCTAGAGTGGCTTACAGAACTCAAAGAAATATTTTACCTACTGGATTACCTCTTTATCATGAAAGGATAGGATAAAGAACACAGATGACCATCCAGATGGAAGAGATGCATTGGGCAAGGAATAGGGGTAGGGCACGGAGCTTCCGTGGTCTCTCTGAGGTGCTACTTACTAACCTGGAAGCTCTCTGAACCCTGTCCTCTTGGGTGTTTAGGGAGACTTTGGCCATTGGCAGTTGATCCAACCTCCAGTCCCTCACTGTCCCTTGTAGATAGGTCAGAGGGTGGAACTGAAAGTTCCAGGCCCTTTAATCCCAAGGTTGGTTCCCCTGGCAACCAGCCCCCATTCTGAGGTACATCTAAAAGTCACACATTGATAGAAAAAAAGCCACCTTTCTGGCTTTCATCAGTTAGGAAATTCAAAGGGTTTTAAGAGTTCTGTACCAGAAATGAGAGTGAAGACCAAATCTGGGGCAGCATTCAGCTGCAGTGGCTGGCTCAGCAGTTTAGCGCTGCCTTTAGCCCAGGGCCTGATCATGGAGACCTGGGATCGAGTCCCACGTTGGACTCCCTGCATGAAGGCTGCTTCTCCCTCTGTGTCTCTGCCTCTCTCTCTGTGTCTCTCATGAATAAATAAATAAATCTTTAAAAAAAAGAAGACCAAATCTGTATTTCTCTTTCTTTCTCTTTCTTTCTTTTCTCATTTCTTTTCTTTCTCTTTTTCTTCTTCTCTTCTTTCTTTTCTTTCTTTCTTTCTTTCTTTCTTTCTTTCTTTCTTCTCTTTCTTTCTCTTTCTTTCTTTCTTTCTTTCTTTCTTTCGATTTTATTCATTTATTCATGAGAGACACAGAGACAGAGAGAGGCAGAGACACAGGCAGAGGGAGAAGCAGGCTCCATGCAAGAAGCCTGATGTGGGACTCGATCCCAGGACTCCAGGATCACACCCTGGGCTGAAGGCAGGCACCAAAGCACTTAGCCACCCAGGGATTCCCCCAAATCTATATTTCTTATCATGACTTACAATATCACAGTGTGTTAGTGCAAAGTATGGTGTATAACCTACTACCTTTTCTTTATACTTGATTAGCCATTTTAAGCCTAATACTCTCTTGACATCTTTTCTTCATAGTGATGTTATTAATACCATTACTTATGTTGACTTTATCAAGTTCCTCTGAAAGTCTTTCAGTTATTTATCCAAATTACTGCTTTCTGTCAGAATATAATATTGCTTCTGTATTATTTCAGTTGCTCTAATGCACTTCTGGATCCTGGTTGCACGTTAGAATTACCTGAATAAACTAAACACACACACACACACACACACACACACACACACACACACGCCTAGATCTCACCTTGGACCAACTGAGTTGAAAAATCTAGTAGTGGGATCCATGGATGGCTCAGCGGTTTAGTGCCTGCCTTTGGCCCAGGGCGTGGTCTTGGAGTCCCGAGATTGAGTCCCACATCGGGCTCCCTGTGTGGAGCCTGCTTCTTTCTCTGCCTGTGATTCTGCCTCTCTCTCCGTGTCTCTCATGAATAAATAAATAAATAAAATCTTTAAAAAAAACAAAGAAAAAGAAAAATCTAGTAGTAGGCCTGGGTGTTGGTGTTTTTGTTTTTGATTTTTTTTTTTTTTTGTATTTCTCTGGGGATTCTAATAAGTGGCCAGCTCTGAGAACCACTGCTATAAAGGAACATAAGGGCCCTTTAGCTACAAGTTGATACCTATCTTTCTTTCTTTTCTTTTCCTTTCAATTTTATTTATTTATTCATGAGAGACACACAGAGAGAGGCAAAGACATAGGTAGAGGGAGAAGCCGGCCCCTCCCCATAGGGAGCCTGGACTTGGGATCACGCCCTGAGCCAAAGTCAGATGTTCCACCACTGAGCTGTTCAGGCGTCCCTAGCTGATACATTTCTGATTTGGGGGATTAATTTGGTTTATCTGGCCACATAGGCAAGAGTCCCCTTCTAATGCCCTGCTATATGAGCACCTGTGCTGTACAGGTGGGGACCCACTTACATGGAGGATTTTCTTTTTGTGCATTCATTGTGATTTTTATTAGAGTATTAAAAATAAGCAGTATAAAGTAAATGTAATAAATTTGCTAAGGCAGAAATCTGAACAAATCTTACTCATTATTCTTTTTTGAATCCCCATTTAGATTTGGAGGTTGATATGTGGAAGAATAATTTGCCTTGATTTGAAAGATACTTTCTGCAGTAGTCTGCTTATTTATAATTTTAGGATATTTGAAAGAAGATATGGAAGCAGAAAATTTGCAGTAAGTTTTTATGTATTTTACCTTTGCTACTTAGGTTATGGAAAAAGTGTTTTTTGTTTTCTTATTTTTAAATAGTTTTAAATTTGTGTTCATTAAGGTAGGTATTACTATTAACAATTATCTTTAAATTACATGATCCTCTATCTTATTTGGAGCATAGATATTAGCAAAGAAAAAATTTAAATTTAAGCCACTTGCATAGTAAAATAATAATGATAGTGTTAATAGATAATATCAGGTGTGAGTGGCTAATACAAATTTTTATTAGGATTTTAACTTCAATAAAATTTTAATCACTTATTTTGTTCAATGGTTTGTGTGTTACTTGTTAAAAATAAATTGTGCTATATCTTTTTTTACCATACTTAGAGATTATGGAAGTGACACTACATTTAACCAATATGGCTTTACACCCTCATTTTGAAAACTCTATATAATAAAAACAAATTAAAACAATAATGTACCTGAGCTGGTTCTAGTTAAATATAAGTTTATATTTTGAATACTCCTTTCAGTAACAGTCTTCTTGTTTTATTTTTAGTCCTTTTTGCTGGGTTCCTGGGTTTTGTCGGCCTTGGTTGACCTCATCCTCGTTGAGGCTATTTGGTATTTCTTTGGTATTGCTACAGCCGGGAATTTGCCTTCTGGATTGTAAGTAGCTCTCAGAGATTAGCTTAATAATTACTTAAATCTGATTTAAGTTATTGTACATGAAAGTGAGTAAAAGAATATTTTAAACTCATAGATGTAGTGAAATTGATTTTATGTGTAAAAACATCCAGTGTATAGTCACATTTTCATTTTTTTTTTTTTTTTAAGATTTTATTTACTTATTCATGAGAGACAGAGAGAGAGGCAGACATAGATAGAGGGAGAAGTGATGTGGGACTCGATCCTGGGACCCTGGGGTTAATGACCCAAGCCAAAGACAGATGCTAAACCACTGAGCCACCCAGGCACCCCCATATGTTTCACAGTCACTCTTTTTTTCAGCTTTGAAATCCCATATATTAGAGAATTTTTCATGAATTTCCTGTTCTGGTCCAGAAGGTAGAATTAATTTTGTGTTTTTATAGTGGAATTTTGTCTAGTTTTATGAACTAATTAAAAATAATATTTAGTTAATTAGATTCAGAAATAATTTGAAGTTAAGCTTCTGAAGCATATTTTTAAAATTAATATTGTTTAGATACTTCTGCCAAAGATAAAACAAAGTTTATAACTTTGTAGCCAGCCCACAATGGCCAACTGAACACTGTTTGTGTATGTGTTATGTATGTTTTCATATTGTGTTGATCTTCTTTAAAAACCAAACGATAAAAAAACATGTATTAGTTTATGAAATAACTAGTGTCTAAAAGTAGAGTAAGTAGCACATATAACCTTAAGCATCTTGGAATTAAGTGTCTGAGAGATGAGATACTGTGAACTAAAGATACCAGTATTTAAAATTCTGTGTGTGCTAACTTCTGCCTTATTTTAATTTAGGTGTGTGTTTTTGAGAACTGTTTAGGTATTCAATGTATCTTAATTCAGATTCACTTTGGATCTCTATATTAAAAATATAGTTAGTGATCTAATAGCCTACACTTAGGTTGTTAATATTTACAATGTAGCTTTTATGGGATCTATTTAATTGTAGTTGCGTTCATTAAGTGTTGACTGTTAGCTGTTTTAATAATGTGTGATCCTGAATGGTAGCTGAATGGAGACAGATAAAGTTCTGTGTCATAACTGTTACGCAGTTTTTGTTGGAGTACATGGGTTGTAATTATAATTAGATGGAGAAGTTTAAGTGGACTCTTCTGCTATTGTGGAAAGAAGTGTAGTCATCAGGAATGATTTATGTTGGTTCAGAAGAGAAGCAGTGTTACTTAATCTTCAGTTTTCCCCAAACATTTCTTATCCAGGTGAATTCTTTTTGGTTCTTTATATAACCTCCTGAGATATGCAAGTATTTTGAAAGACAATATGAATGTTAATTCAGCCATCACCTGAATGAGAATATATTTCTCTTTCCTTTTCAAATCATGAAACATTCCAGTATGGCTTTTAAGAGTCCCGAAGCTTTTCTAAACATAGACTTCTTGAAACATAAATCTTTATTCTAATAAACTCTGCATTTTGTAAACACGTCTTCCATTAGATGGTAGAAAAGCTTCAGGAACTTAAGAGAGGAAAGTGTGCTTTATAACTTGCAATATTTTTTTTTTAAGATTTTATTTGTTTACTCATGAGAGAGAGAGAGAGAGAGAGAGAGAGAGGCAGGCAGAGAGAGGCAGAGAGAGGCAGAGACACAGGCAGAGAGAGAAGCAGGCTCCATGCAGGGAGCCCGACGTGGGACTCGATCACAGGTCTCCAGGATCCAGGATCACGCCCTGGGCTGAAGGCGGCGCTAAACCGCTGAGCCACCTGGGCTGCCCCACTTGCAGTATTTTTTACATCACATCGTGTTACCCTTTTTCTTTGCCGCCAATGCCAAATTTATCTGCACTCTCTACAATTCTTCATGTCTGTTTAACTCTCTTTTTTTAACCTCACTGTTGTTAAAACTTCTCTTATAAATGTCCCCAACAACCAACTAATTTTTAAAGTTAGGGGATTATTTTCAGTTGTTCTATTTGACCTTTCAGTAGCTCATAAATCCTTTTGACAGCCCATTATTTCGTGAACTCACCTGCTCCCTTGACCCCAACACTCTGCTCCCTCTTGGTGTGTTTTGATCTTACTATGTGTGGCTCCTTCCTCAAGCTCACTCTGAGCTTTCTCTGGGCTTTCTTGTCCACTCCCATGGCTTCAGTCAGCTACAGTTAACATCTGTTGTTTGTTTCCCAGCTCTCTATTTCCAGCCCGTATTACTCTCCTGATCTTGCTAGAGTCATATTTCCTAGTGACTTCTAAGACTCAGAGAAAATTTGTCATGTTCCAAGCTCTCCTCTCTTCTAATCTCCTCTTTTGCTGGGCTCCCATCTCTGTTAATGGCATCTCCATCTACATGATCATCCAGTCTTTCTCTTTTCTCATCCTTGGAATGGGGCACCACCAGGTCCTATTAATTTGAAGTCCTGTATAAATCATCTGTTCACCCCATCTTCTCTACTCCTGCTATCAGGTCAGTCTAAACTCTGAAATTTTTTTATTTTAAGATTTTATTTATTTATTTGAGAGGGAGAGTGGAAGTGAGTGCACAAACAGGGGGAGGGGCAGAGGGAGATGCTAAGCAGGGAGCCTGATGCAGGGCAGACCCAGGACCCTGAGATCATGGACCTGAGCCGAAAGCGGATGCTTAACCAACTAAGCCACTCAAGCACCCCTAAACTCTGATCTTTTTCTGCTTAGACTTTTGCAGTAATTCTTTTAGTCTTGCTGTCCACTTCAAAGCATCCCATGCAATGTGGTCAGAAGTTATCCTTCCAAAATGCAAGTTCAACCATGCCAGTCTTCCTTTTTAAAATCCTTTAAATCCTCATTTCCTTCAAAGTAAAAACCAGATTCCTCCAAGATGGCATCAGACCAGTCTGGAATAGTGGAAATGCAGAGGCTTGGCTATCAGATATACCAGATTTGAGATTCCAGCTCTCCCACATTGGTACATGTGTGTAATCTTGAACAAGCGACCTCTCTCAAGTTCCCTTCCTGAGCTCAGTTTATAGTTGACCCTCATATGTAAATTGAGGATCAGTACTCTATTTCCCAGGCAGTGGAAAGAATTAGCTCTTTCATGCAAGCATCCTAGCAGTAACAACACTGACCCCTCATATTGGTTTTCTTCTTTCCCTTCAGAGCCCTCATAATCTGGTCCCAGTTCCCTTCAAGCCACTCCCTTGCTCATTCAGCTTTCTTAACATGTTATGTATTTGTATTCTCATGTCTGCTTGGTGTTCTTTTTGCAGTAATTATCCTTTTATGTGTATTCCAACAAATTTATTAAGATTCCTAACATTTATCACATTACGTTGTCATTGCCATCATTACCTGGGCCTTCCATGCCATTCTTCTGGCTGTTTGAGGGAGAACTAGTTTTACTTTATGTACTCATTGCCTTATATTCTGTAATGTTGAAAGGATAGCCTTGATTGCAGTGTCGTTTCATAAGGCTATAAGGTAAGGCCTTTGGACATAGACATCTTCATCTCTTTTTCTAGTGTTCTGAATAGAAATTATACCTGGCATCTGATAGATTCTCAAGACTGTTATTTAAAAATCAGAAAATGTAGCCATTATGTTTTGAAAATAAAGATAACTCCATTAAAAGCCATATATATTAGGTGCTTCTAGAAATGCATGCCTGTCACATACCTGTCCTTATATACTTGGTATTTTTTAGTTGTTAGCACTTACATATGGGTGTTATAATGTTCTGAGAACTTCTCAGAATCGAAGTTCTCCAGAATAAGTGGAATTTTGAGTTTTCACACATCATGTTAAAATGTATCTGATTTACAACACTTAATGAAATTATTTTTTAATTGTGCTTTAAATTATCTGTAGTTTTACTGTTAAAACCATAAGATATATTTCCACTTTGTGTCAATATAGCTTTTTTTGTATTTTGTGCTCCCAAATAAAATTCTTCTTATCAAGAAAACCGATTGCAGAGAACTTGTCATTTCATAAAATATACAAGGGGTGTCTGGCTGGCTTAGTCAGGGGAGCATGCAACTCTTGATCTCAGGGTTGCGAGTTCAAGCCCCACACTGGGTGTACTTAAAAATCTTTAAAAAATAGAAGTTAAATATAACAATAATAAAATAATAAATTATGTAAGAGCAGACTAAACTGTATAGTTCAGAGTAGGCTATGACTACCTAGATACCACAACCTATATATCCAATACAGGAACTCACATGTTTCAGAAATAATTATTTATTTTATTTTATTATTTTTAAAAAAGATTTTATTTATTTATTCATGAGAGGCACAGAGAGAGGCAGAGACCTAGGCAGAGAGAGAACCAGGCTTCCTGTGGGGAACCCAATGTGGGACTCCATCCCAGGACCCCAGGATTATGCCCTGAGCCAAAGGCAGATGTTCAACCACTGAACCAACTAGGTGCCCCTAATTTTTTGTTGAAAGATGTTTGTTAAAGTACCTTGCTTACTTGATTATTCAGACTTAAAACTTCAAGTAGTTTTCTCTTTGTGGAGGAACTACATCTTAGTATCACCTTGAGACTACTTTATCTTATGTAGCTCTGAGAATGTTTGTGTTCTGTGAACTTGTTTGCTTTTAGTATTGAAAATTGGTGGTTAACATAACAGAAACTTGGTTTCTAGTCCTGATTCTCAGCTGAGCAAGTTATATAATATCTTTGGACTTTGGTTTCTTTATATATAAAACAGAAGGATTAGGGGATCCCTGGGTGGCTCAGCAGTTTAGCACCTGCCTTCAGCCCAGGATGTGGTCCTGGAGTCCAGGATTCGAGTCTTACATCAGGCTCCCTGCATGGAGCCTGCTTCTCCCTCTGCCTGTGTCTGTGCCTCTCTCGGTCTCTCTCTGTGTCTCTCATGAATTAAAAAAAAAAAAAAACTTAAAAAAAAAACAGAAGGATTAGATGAAAAGATTATGTAAGGGATCTTCCAGTATTAAAATACTGTTTTATGATTAGGCTCCTTCGTGTTTCTCTCTTTTTTTTAAGAATATGAATTTACCCATGTTAATTCTAGAAATCCGTTTCTAACTAATGCATTTATTTGATTCTTAGTCCCATTAGGAGGTGATCATGTTAAGAGTAATGAAAATGATTTAGCAGAGAGGAAGTAATGGTAGACTCATTTGCGTGCTTCCATAATATTTAGAATAATATGTGCTTTACCGATTATAGTTCACTTTCTTTTCTTTTTAAATGGGGAAGTTACTTGGTTTGTTATTTTATTAGGGGAAATTAAATGGCAAGGCTAGGGTGAGAATCCAGGGTCCCTGACTGGTGCTATTATACTGTGATATACAGCCTGGGAAAAAAAATCATCCTCTTGTAATATGATGTTTAATCAATAAGAAGAGCAAACTATATTGGAGAAAAGTATTTTACCCTACAGCAGAAACTTCATGTCATAGGAATGGACTTGGGTTGTTGGGGGCAGAAATAGGGTCTCAGATTAGGTCTCTTGCATTGGTCGTAAGTAGACTCTGGTACATAGTAGGCTCTCTGTAATCGTTATTCAATGACTCCAGTCTGTTTCCAAAAGAAAATGAATTCAAAGTAGGGGAGGGCTGATGGTGATTGCCTTTGCAGGTCCCTTCTGGTGATTGTTCCTGCTAATTTTGGTTTGCAGCAAGTAACAGTGATGGGTTGAATATAATTGTTTGTGTAGGAATCTTTGATATTTAGAACACAAAATATTGTAAGATTTAGACCATCAATCCCGAATGTAAACTAAACCAGAGGGAACTTTGGTTTTGGTTTAAATCAAATTATAATTTAATTTATTTTGAACAGTAAGTGGATTTTTTTTTTTTTTGGCCTACTGACCTGATTGAATCATGATTCACTTGCACATAGAATTAAATCCAAAAAGTTGTCAACTGTGTATTTAGATAAAGCTTGATTTTGAGATATAAATTGGATATTTTTCTCTCAGTAACTCACGAATATGTTTTATACAAGTTTTGAAAATAATAATGAATTCATTAGAAACTTAGAATATTTAATTATGTTGCCACATAGTAGGATCCCACAAAAGTGTTTCTTAAGTTTCTTTTTTTTTTTTTCAGGAGAGAAGGGGCTTGGTAATATCATACAGAATATCCAGTGACCTTAGGATAGTTAGTAAAGTGAATATAAAGAGATTAAAAACAGAAACCTGCTTATCATTCAAAGCATTTCACTGTTTACATTGCTTAGTGACCGTAAACTACCTGATCGGAAGCTTTTTCTGCGCACACTCCGAAGGTAATTTCTGTAGAGCATGACACTAATGACTCGAGCCTGAAATTGTTTTGAAACGATGTAGTAGAGAATCACATCCAGACAGGTGCTGAGGTTCATGAGGAAGGTGGTAAAGGCTCCCCAGGGATTGTAACTGTTCTCATCCCCTTCCAGCATCAGGAAAGCAAAACAGATATGGAAAGGCATAAAGCAGATGAGCACCTGTACCATGAGTGTGATGATGATCCTTATAGACTTCTCCTTGACTTTTGGTTTCAGCTTAGATGTCTTCCCGTGAAGGAGACTATGAATGATGATTAAGTAGCACCCAATCATGATGAACAGGGGAATCAAGAAAAAAAATATCAGTCGAGTGAAGTTCAGCATGTTAATAGCTTTTAAGTGGGTGATGTCAGAAATCTTCAGGCAGGTGGGGGGTGTGGAGGCTTTATCTGGGTCTTCATAGAGCAGTAGGAGCGGGATGGTGGTTGTCAGGGTCATTATCCAGACTCCCACACATGCTAGCATGGCTTTGCCTGTGTTTTTAAGTTCTTTGGCATATTTTGGCTGCACAATGGCCATGTATCTGTCGGCACTAATAAAAGCAAGAAGCCATAGAGCAATACTTGGATAAAACACTGTGAGAGCCCCAAGAATCTGGCAGAAGTACTCTCCAAATGGCCATTCACCTTTTGCATAATAAAACATCCGAAAGGGTAAGCTCATTATAAATATTAAGTCCAATAGTGCCACATTCATCATATAGATGGTTACAGTGGTTCTCTTCTTGGTAGTACAACTAAAAACCCATAAGGCAGTGGCATTAACAAATGATCCAATTATGAAGATACAGCTGTAGAAGACAAGGGCTGCGATCTTGTATTCTTCTGGATGTGAATTGTTGGAAGGGCCAGGTTGAGCTTGATTGTGAGGAGTGGTCATCTTATAGATTGTTGGGGGAATGACACTTAGAAACTGTAAAATAGTTAAGAATAATAGAAATAAAAATTTTTTGAAAAATAAATGCTTAACACTGTCCTACTTGACTTGCTGTGCCAGTGGATTTTAATTTTAAGAGTATTTTATGTTGTACAGTCAATATATGTGTCTTAGTATTTATTAAGAAATCCACTTCCTAGATACTATTACTCATGTGCACTGACCCATTAAAATGGTCTGTGTGTTATAAAGCACTGGCAGATTTATTTATTTTTTCTCTCTGCTCGCCTCCCTTTTGCCCTAGGGAATAACCTTTTTTTTTTTAAAGATTTTATTTATTTATTCATGAAAGACACAGAGAGAGAGGCAGAGACACTGGCAGAGGGTGAAACAGGCTCCATCCAGGAAGCCCGACATGGGACTCGATCTCAGGACTCCAGGGTCATGCCCTGGGCCAAAGGCAGGTGCCAAACCACCGAGCCACCAGGGGATCCCCCCCTCCTTTTTTACACACTACAGGAAAAAGTGTGTAATTGGGTAGCAGTTATTCTTATAATAAATGTTCTTGGATTGGGACTAATTGGGAGAAGGTCATTCTGAATTTTGAATCTTACAAAATAGTTTGCTACTTTTTATCATCTTTATTCTGTTTTATCATCTGTTTATCTTTTTATCATCTTTATTCTGTTTAAATGTTTTATAATCCAGGTTAGTAATGTCCAAAAGATTAACTTTTACTCATTAAATATAGTTTTAATGTATAAAATGTGGATTAGAAAACTAATAAAGGATTAGAAAACTAATAAAGGAACCACACAACTGGTTGATTCACATTAATTCTCATTTGAGAGCAGGAACTTTTCCTTTTGGCTGCTATATTTCCACTGCTGCTTGAGTCCATAGGAGTCCTCATTAAGTAAATGTTTGCTGAATTGATGGATGAGTGATGGAAGGACCCGCAGCAGCTACTCTAGTTTGTCAATGAATATTTGCTTGGTTAGTTATTAAGCCTATTTTTTTTTTTGAAATGGAAACACTTCCTCATAGTATTATGTTCTTTCTCAATTATCATAGTTCTAGAAACAGCGTGTTCTGCCATGGTTTACAGATCAAGAACCTGACTCTTAGAAGAATAGATGAGCTAGTTTTTCACTCAAAGTTAGTTGGAAGGGCTTAATGCTGTCTTCCCGATGGTATTTACCAGTGTCCCAGAAATGGACATCACTGATGTGCCAGGAAACAACACCTTGAGAAGAGGACATTGCTAGTATAGTAACTCTTATGCCCTTACTCTAACTACATAAAGACACTGAAGTATTATATGGCAAATTAAATTTTAAAAAGGAATATTAAAGAAAAAGTAGTTCTTAATTAGAAGTCATTCAGTAACTTTAGATGCATGCAAAAACAAATTCCCATCACCAAAAAAAAAATGTTCACTTCTAATAGAAAGTTCAGTTGTGATTATAAATATCATCAACCCCTCACCAGAGTAAAACTTCCATCACCCATGATGCAACGTCAACAATAGTGATTTTAAGAATAAAGGTGCTTATTAAGAGATGGAATCTTGTGGTATCCCCTTGACTTAGAGGTGTAAGAAAAGTTTCCTTCAGAAATGTCACTTTGCAGAGTGGGCTGTCTCTAATTCAACCCTGAGTCTGTCTTTAGTGAGAACTGTGGGGGTGATTAGCATTCTGGTTAGTGGCATCAGGGGCTGTTGAGAATATAAAATGAATTTGAGCTAAATAAATAAATAAATAAATAAATACATAAATACATAAATAGAATTTGAGCAGTTGCTGTGGACAAACACAAGATATGAGTTCGTTTTTACACCTTCTCCCTTTTTTCCTTCCTTCTTGACTATAGCTAGTTTGCCAAGTTATCTAGGTTAGATATGATTTTGGAATAGAAGTCTATGTATTAGTAGCCTATACTTATATTATTAAAATATCCAAATATTGATGTGACTAGAATTTTAATTTCTATCAAATGAGAAAAGTATTATATAGAAAAATCTCCAGTATCATATCGAGGAGAATAATTTTGGACTCTTGACTATTTTTAAATTTTCATTGAATTTTTAAATAGTAATTGTAATATGAATGAAATTTTGTATCTTTTCTCTCTCTCTCTCTCTCTCTCTTTTTTTTAGAGAATTTATTTATTTATTCATGAGAGACACAGAAAGAGAGAGAGGCAGAGACACAGGCAGAGGGAGAAGCAGGCTCCATGCAGGGAGCCCGACGCGGAACTCGATCCCGGGTCTCCAGGATCACACCCTGGGCTGAAGGCAGACGCTAAACTGCTGAGCCACCCAGGCGTCCCTCTTTTTTCTCTTTTGATACTGTGTTTGGACTCCCTTCCCCCATCCTCATCCCTGAATTTTGTCATGTAAATTTCATAGTTACAAACCCTTTATGAGTGAATTTTTTAACCTCCATTGGGCTCAAGCTGCTTTTATGTCACCAACACTTGTATTCATTTGCTTAAGGTTGAAAAAAATATGTGTAATGCATGTTTTAAAGGCATTACCAGATTGGTTGTGCTCTGTACACACAGATACATTTTTGGATAAATATTAGAAAGTGATTGTTTTCAAGTCAGCATTTTATTTTATTTTTTCAAGTCACTGTTTTAAAAACTTTAGATTCAGTGATTATCTATAGTCTTTTTTAAAATAAAGCTTTATTTATTTGAGAGAGTATGGTGAGGGGAAAGGGCAGAGGGAGAGAGAGAATTTTTCTTCAGCAGACTATGCACTGAGCACAGAGCCTGATGTGGGGCTTGATCTCAAGAGCCTGAGATCATGACCTTAGCCAAAAATAAAGAGTCAGTGATTTTGACCCTGAGCCACCTAGGTGCCCCATAGTCTTTTTTTTTTTTTTTTAAAGCATTTAATACATTTTGTGAAACAGTGTAATTGAAACCAAGTGACAAAGACTCCTAAATATACTTATGATTTATCATATCAGCATTTTTTAAGTGAAAAAAATTATTTACTATTAACATAAAACACTGTTGAAAATAAGTTTAAAAAATCACATTAATAATGCAGGAAGATGACAGCATAACCCATTTCAAGGTCCTTTGCCAGCATAGTGTCAGCAACATATTATTAAATGATTTTGTAACTTAGCACTACTTTTTTTTTGTCACCATACAAAGTTATTACAATATTATTATGTTTCCCATACTGTACTTTCCATCCCCATGACTTACTTATTTTATAACTAGAAGTTTATACCTCTTTAGTGTAGCATTACCTGGTGGATAATATGTGATGAAATTAACTAAATGCTACTTACCTCTTGTCCATCAAAAGGCTGTGTTAGAGAAGAGCATTTTTCGTCATACCCAGTTATCTAAAAGAGATATCTTGTGTTAAAATAGCTCTTTCTAGAAATGGTATATTTAAGAAGTTGCAGTATTTCTTTTGTTTCAGGCTCTTCTTTTCCTTTACAAAGTTGTTTCAAATGTAAAACTTGGCACAGGAGTTGGTACTCGTTTGGCTGCAATTGCTGCTTTGTCTCTTTCAGGAAGTACTCTCTGAAATAAGGCTTTTTTAACTTCTGACTTTGCCCTGGATGTGGTTTCTCTCACAAGTGATTTGTTTATGAGGTCATGATTAGCATAAACTCCCCTTGAAGTGATGGCATGTACTTAAAGAGAATCAAACAGAGGAAAATGTGTTCAGTTTGTTTACTTTGATGCTTAAAGTCTGCATCACCTATTGAAAGAGAATGCGATTTGATGTTGACTAGAATGGGGTTCATAGTAGCTTCTTCACTTTTTAAGTTGTGGGACTTTGTCTAGTTACTTTAACCCCTCTGAGTCTCTGTTCCTACTTAGTTTCTATACAGTTAAGATAGAAATAATACTCATGTGATAGGATTATGAGGCCTCTAAACCAGAAAAATCCCAAATGCTGAACATAGTGTCTGGCACTTAGTACTAACCTAAACAGAGTTAACCCTGCACTACAAAGTTCCTGAAGTCATAAAATGCCCACTTTTATTGTTAAGATATTTCTAAGTGGTTAAAATTGGGGTCCTCTGTTATTTGCTTCTGCGTTGCATTTATCCACTTTGGTTTGTCTTTTTTTGTTGTTGTTTTAAGACAGAGGGGATTGTGAGGGAGGGACAGAGGGGGAAGGAGAGAGAATCTCCAGCCAACTCCCTGCTGGACATAGGGCCAATCTAAGGACCCTGAGATCATGACTTGAGCTGCCCCTGCTTTATTTTTTAATCTCCAATGCATCCTAACCCTTTTCTGTTGCATGGAAGTCTAGAAATAATTCCTTTTATATAAACATCTCTGCAAATTGCTAAGAAAGGACTGGAATTCTTTAGTGGAATAATTTACATGTTTGGAGTATTCTAACCTAGAAAGGGAAGTGAAACCAATGGAAAGGGAAGTGAGCAAACCTAATCATTGTCTGCCCTGTTGCATTAAACTTTCTCTTTTCTTAAAAAAAAAATCTCATTTGCTTGTCTTAAAATTTTACTTTTCTTTATTTTTGGTTATGCATGATTTGTCAACTTGTAAAAGGTACATGAAGTTAACTATTTGTTTTTTGAACTTAAGACAGTTTGAGGGCCTGTGCTCTTTCTGTCCTCAAATAAAAACTATAGTTTCTTGGGGTTGGCATGTGGTGTGGTGTGTGTGTAGCAAGCATTTAATAAATATTGGTGGACTGTGACTGAAGAAGTAGAGGGGCAAGGGAGTCGTGGGTGGATTACTGAGTGGGGTGACGGCATCAGGGATGCTTTGACCCTCTTAGGGAAGGGGACCTGCCAATCAGCAGACAGATGTGGAGACTCAAGCTCTGGCAGTGACCCTTCTCTCCTCTCCATGACCTGTGAATCTTTGCACTGTTCTTTGTGTTGCTGGCCCTCCACAATACCTGTATGTTGGTTGTAAAAAAGAATTACAGTGGGAACAATTCCCCCAAACCTTTTGGCAACAAGTAAACAATGGATTGAGAAGTAAACTCTTAAGTGTCTAGTTTGCTTCTTTAATACTTGAGCCTAATGAATTTTTTATTCAAGTAGAAAAACTTACGTCATTCTGGGACTGTTCATGCAGATGTACTTTCCTCAGTTATTTTGGAATATGAGTAAAAGAGAAATTTTTCACCTTGCAAAAAAGGGATTACAGATATCCAAGGGGTTTCATTTTGTGAAGTAATCTGTTTTCATTCCATTTTTGAATTCTGGTTTAGAATGTTAAAAGACCTCAAAGAATTTTTATTTTAGCACCTGAGCCCAGTTTTTGAGTGAATATGGTTTAGTTAGGACAATTTCATAATTATTAGGAAGGATGTAGTTAATAGATTTATACATTAAATCCCAATTATAAAACGTGCTCTGCATTAGAGATTTGTTTATACCATAAATAGAATTATATTTCCTGTTCTTAACATATTTCTCTTTACCATTGCATGTGTAAGTGGGGGTTTTTGTTCTAATCCTTTTTTAAAAGATTTTATTTATTTATTTGAGAGAGAGAGTGAATGAGAGAGAGGGAGCATGAGCAGGGAGGGGCAGAGGGAGAGGGAGAAGCAGACACCCCACTGAGCAGGGAGCCTGATGTGGGCCTTGATCCCAGGACGGTAAGATCAAGACCTGAGCTGCGGGTAGACACTTCACCGACTGAGCCCCCAGGTGCCCCTCATTCTCATTCCTTACCCCAACGTTTTGGGAAGGGGATCACTGTCCTTGATGTTCATTTTTCCCAGCGTGGGTGGCCATAAGCACTGAAGGCTGGAGTGGTGGGTCAACAGCCCACCTGTCTCCCAAGAAGAGGGTTGTGAGGGAAGTGAGGATGCTCTGAACTAGGAGGAGAATCTTACAGTTTGGCCCTAACGGTCCCCCACTTTGAGGTCGTGGAATCTTTGTTACTCTACTCTCTGTCTCTGTCAAACTTGTATCTAAACGACCTGTTCTGTTTTTGTGTATGTGGTTTTGTTTTTGCTTTTAATGAGGGAGCTTAATTGAATACTGTTTTGTGGGTAAAGAAGATTGAGGTAGTACTATTTGTCTAAATCTGTTTTTAAGAAAAAATGTCCACAGCTTATAGCTATAAATCTACAGTCAGTTAATTGGAACCTCCTTTTCACTTGATTTCCTAAATTATAAATTTAGCAATTCTCAATTCCTTTTCCTTGGCAATTTTTGTACGGTTGGAAAATTTTACAAACGTATAATCAGGCAGTTACTTAACTCATAGCAAACAAATTGAGCCTAAATGACCAAAGTGATCTATAATTCTAGTTAAAATAGATGTAAATCAGCAATGAAAGTAGAGCTCTTTAAAGATACTAAGATTCTCTCACTTAGAGGACCTTAGGAGAAGGCTGCTACATGACAGTAAAATTAGTCCTGGACCCACTGAAATCTTGCAAGACCCCAGGCCAGGAGTGAGCAGTGTAACATTAACATTCCACTAGCTGACCAGAAGTCCAATCAGAGTCCTGAGGATAGCTGTTTGAGTAGAACTGTGTGGTATCTGGTGGCTTTCTACAGATTCTGGTCTTACAGTTAAAGGAAATAGTATATTCCAGCAACTACAAACTCTTGTGTAATGTTTTAGTTTGGAAAATGGTTGTTAAGTAGTAAAATGAAGATACATCTACCCTATGACTCCAATTCCTCTCCTAGGTAGAAATGCATGCTCTTGGGCATCAGGAAACATAGGTAAGAATGTCTATAGTAGCATTATTTCCAGTAGCTCTAGAAACAACCCAAATGTTCAGCTGTAGAATGGATAAATATCACTTGTGTAGAGTACAGGTGAATGCTTCTCATGATCAAAATGAATCCTATAGCAGGCACGTGCAACAATATAGGTGAATCTGTGTATATTATGTTTTGTGAAAAAAGCCAGACATGAAGGAATTTCTGTTTTATGATTTCATTTATGTGAATTTCAAAAAGTAGACCAAATTGAAATACAATGTTTAGGGATTCATGCTTAGGTGTTGAAACTCTCTGGAGAGCTGTGGGTGCATATAATAAGGAGGGCATACCGGGAGAACTCCCAGGATACTGGCAAGTTCTGTTCATTGATCTAAGTGCTAGTAACTCCAGTGTTTATTTTGTGATAATTCATTAAGCTGTATATTTATGGTTTGTCCTTGTATCTGTAAGGGTGTCTGTAAAAAAACAGATTTTAAGATAAATCAAGGAGGGTTTCTTTGTAAGGATCTCATGACACAAGACTGGAACCTTGTGGGGAAAGGAGAAACTGGCCGGACTGTTGCCTTGTGGTGTCTGCCCCCGCTTAGGCACGAAGAAATCTAGGGCTGGAGAGGTTACTAGAACCTGGAAGGAAGGGAACCTGCCTGGAGACTAGTAGTGACTTCCTGTTGAGGGACAGGGAGCCTGAGGGAACCAGGGGAATAAATCCCCCAGCCTCGGGTTTCTCTCCACTTCGGTCTACTCTGAGGCTCACATCAGCCGAACACAGCGAAAGCTGGGGCCTTTGGGTGCAGTCTGTACCCTCAGCCTCTTGAACAGAACAGGATGGAGAAGGGGAAAAAAAGCAAATGGATTATCCGGCATGCTGCACTTTTTGGTATGTGTGTTACATTTTATATTCAAAAAGGGTTTTGTTTGTTTGTTTTAAAGCTTGTGCTTTAAGTTGGCAAGGACTGGGTTGAGTGTCTCTGCCTCTTGCAAGCTGTATTTGTAACTTTTTTAGACGTCTTGTGAATCCTCTAATTCCTTGGAGCTTATGTAAAATATATGTTTTAGACACCAGAATACTAGTTTTCTCCGTCTCTCTCCTGCCTGAAATGTCCCCTTTCTTGCTTCACGGCACATTTAAATTTTTCTTGGGAATTTTCAGACTGGGAGTGTAGTGTGGGAGCTCTGCTTCTTCCACTAGTTAATTTGCTGAGTTATCCTCAAAAAAAAAATTCATTTCGCTCATCATCACTCTCCCCAACTGGAAGAAAGGGGAAGTTGGATAAGGCTTTCTGGAAAGACTTCCCACCCTTGGCACCATACAATTCTAAGTAACTTTTCCCGCTACAGTGGGTATTTTATCTTTGTCTCCCTCTGAATTTTTGTAGGCCTACAGATGAGAAACATGGGCCAGGACTTGGGGATCTGTGTCCTCACATCACTGCACGAAAAAAACCTCAGTGTGTCCAGGACTCATTTGGAGAAACCCAAGAGAGCCTTGAATGTGTATGTAGGTGTCTGGGGCCTCGTCTGAAACAGAGCACCCAGAGCGCTGAGGGGTCTGTGTGTTTCTGGCCTCTGCCCTCCATCTGTGTCATGTTGTGGTGGTCTTCAGCGTGTGTTTTTACCTCATTTTCCATTTATCTTTAAGTCAACTTGCTCTTAACAGATTTGATTCTACTCATTCTTTACACAGCCATTTCTAGTAGCTTGTTCGATGGTTGCAGCTAATTTGCCTATCTCCTTTCACCTTTCTCCCATAACCGTCCCTCTTATATGCGGTAGGCAGCAGGAGTGGCTGT